AAAATTACCGTAGATCTTTTCCCTTGCAATTTCCTGCTTAAAAGTTCGGTAGGTCTCCAGTGATGATTGTGTGTGTATTCCCATCTTCCACATGTCCTACTCTGTTTTCTTCTCTTTCTTCTTAACCAATGTTTTCTTTTGGCTTGGTATTCTGCTGTTGTCTAAATACTTCCTTGACACTTCTCGAGTTTGCTTTTTCTATTTAGTATCAACATTCTTCGTGCAAAAGTAGCTGACAGCTGTCCCAGCCCGACGCTCCTCTCCCATTTTTCACATTCACTCCTCAAATTCCATCTTGCTGCTACCTTCCCTGCACTCAAACGATGTCCATCACATGACAACATGTACCCCCTGATTTAGGGTATTCCCGTGTGCTTACAAGGCAAGTCTACCTATGCCACGTCGTTTAATTTTCAATCTTGATCGAACATCTCATTTGATGCACAAGACCGCATTGCCGAACGTCCAACCCGGAACTATGACACCACTTTTCCGAATCTATCTCACAACGCCATGCCTCGTGTAGTTCTACAGTGCCATATTTGTCATTACAGCTGCATTCTTGGTGCCCTTAAACATTACTTATCTTTCGTGTTCCCTTAGATACACAACCCCGTTATTTATCCATACGCCCAGATATTTGTATACATCCACTATTTCTAGCGTGACTTCCTTGCTGTCGGCTATAAATACTGTATCATCTGATACATGAATGCTGGTAATGACTGTTGAATGTTTTTTTTTTGCTGGGAAAAAGAGAGGCTGAAGCCGATTCGACTCGCTTCTAATTTGGCTTGTAGTCTCTGGTGATACAGCATTAGTAACAATGGTGACAAGGGACATCCCTCTCGAAGCCCACGTTGTATTTCTATAGGTTCAGATACCTGTTCTTCCCATTTGATAACTACCTTCATACTTTTATAGATATTCTTTAGAAGATTAGTTATTTCATATTCCACATCTAGTGTGCCCAGCATTCCCCACAATTCTTCCTGAAACACAAATCCTGAGCTTCCTTGATATCTAGAAATGCCAGCCACAAGAGCCTGTGTTCTTTTTGCGCTATTTTAATACACTACATAAATGAAAACTGATTCCCCTCTGCATGCCTTCGTTTACGGAACCTATTTTCTAGTTCTCCCAGCACTAAATCATTCCCCATTAATGTCTGTAGTCTTTCCTTTACTATCTGCATCACCAGCCTAAAAAGAACTGATGCCACTTTCATGGAACGGTAGTTGTTTATATCGGCTATATCCCCCTTTCCTTCATAGATCAAGCTCATCCTGCTTAATTTCCACCCATTGGTAGCTTCGCCATCCATTAATTGCTTTGCTTGCTGCTCTCTCTTATTCTTTGCTCAGAGTTTGTTCCTAGTTTCTTTATTACCATGCTTGTAATGCCGTCAGGACCTGTATGTGCTATTAGAAACCCTTTACTCTGCCCTTTCCCACTCTCGTTGTCCTAGTGTAGCCACTGAGCTTATTGGTCCATCCTCATCTGGTATGGTGCATGCAATGTTTCCTTGGTGTTTAAATTTTTCGTCATCATTGCTTTTATATATTCCATTGCATCATCCCCTTGTAGTCTGACCGATTGAACTGTAGTTATAAACCTCTGTTTCACGCTTGTCGTATTACTCAGAGAAGCGAGATGGTACCAAAACTTCGCAGCTGCTTTTCAATAGTTTTTTGTTTACTTCCGCCATTCATCGGGCCCCCTTTCTTGTAATCTTGTCACTGATCAAACCGGACACTTCCCTTCGGCAACTCAAAAGTTATCCCATTTTTTTTAGCATCAACTTCTGGTTCACACTTCTGTTTAACATATCTCTGTTCCCCGAAGGCTTCCTGGCGTCTTACTATGGCTCTCTTAACTCTTCATCTCACCAGCTCTTCAGTTTGTGTCTACTTTTGCCGGTTGGTTTGACTCGTACCTTAGCAAGCTCTCACTCAAAACAATCGAGTTAGATATGTGCACGTCCACTCTGTTTTAGTATCCTCGGTGATTATTTTCTCAATCTCTTTTGTTGCTATTTCTATTCGCCTTTCTGAATAAATATTACCGTGTGGTTGCTCGTCAAGTCACTTTTTTAATTTTATTTCTGTTCCAAAACTTTGCTTGATTCTTTTGTGATTACTACCTAAGCTTCTGGACCTATATTCGTTTATATTCATCACCCTTAGCCCAGAATACATCCTACGTGACATTTTTGCGTAATCTACCGTCGACTGCAGCTTTCAAGCCTCCCATGTTATCTGCCTTTCGTATTTCCAGGTGCTGTTGAAAATGATTGAATCATGTCTTTCACACATATCCTTTAGCCTTCTGCCTGTTGGGTCAGTATATCGATCCATAATTTCTAAGTGCGCATTCATATCTTCTAATATAATTACCTCGCACTCTTCTCCTAGTTCGTCAATGTCATTTTCTATGCACTGCACCATTTGTTGGTTTTCCTCTGGCTTTGGCCCTGTCCACAAGTAGAGAAAACCCAGGAGCGTCAGTTGCCCTGCCACATTCCATATTACCTGTAAATGCTCCTTGCACTCCTGCTTGACCATTTGCCACTCTATACTTCTAGGAATGAATTCCCCAATACCACACCCGTTTTTGCTGCCTTCTGTTCTTTTACAGTATTCCCACGCGTAGTTCGGATTGTTAGGAGGTTGTTCCATGCCCCTGAGATGTGTTTCTACAAAACCGAATACAATAGGCATCTCCTCCCTTAGCTGTTTTTCTATCTCTTCCCACTTCACCCTATTCCTGCCAGTTCTGCCACCCTGCTTGTTAATATACCCTACGTCTGAAATAGCTTGCCCTCGTGGCTACGTCGATTTCTGCCCCGGACTCTACGTGTCTTAGATATTGGTGCCACTTTAGATTTTACATTTCTATACTTCCTGTCAAAGAGTCCTCCTGGTTGTTTTCCTCGTTACTAGCTATCCTGTGCCCCCGAAGGGCCCGCGTGCCCCTAAAAAAGCTACTGCGCGTTCTGCAAGTCACCAACCCAGCTCATGACCTAGCTTCCCATTGAAGTGAATTTTGTCTCGTTGAAAACCACCCCACCAATGCACCTCTATATTTATTTCTACCACCTCAAAGCCTTTCTCTCGACTCATCCACCATATCTCTTTGTTTGCGTTGGCAATCCCTCTTTGCACGTTGCTGTCACGCACCAGTACCTCCGGTATCGTTGATATCACTACCTGTACCTGAAGAGAAATGGCGCACATGTCATTGACCTCTTTCGCCAGCGTGGTCGCTAGTCCCGCCATGTCTTCATTTAGGACATTGTTTAAACCACCTGAAATTATCATGAGATTTTCTCCATCAGCTGTATCCAAGTTTTGCGCTCCCTTGCATCATGACTGCTTCCAGCTTGCCTTCTGGGAACGTCCCTACTGCAACTCTCTTGTCACTTTTTACTATCTCTTTGATTGCGTCCGCAGATCGATTTAAATTAGAGGCCCCGGCAATTATCACGTGCTGTGACTTTTCAGCTGGAGCGTCCTCCACCTGGGGGTGACTTGCACCTGTGACGCCGGCTGCCCTCCCAACCCGACCACTACTTCGCTAAAGCTGGGTCTTGGGATCATTGAACCTGCTGAACCTGTTTTTTTCCGAACTTGATCCGAACTTCTTCTCCGCCGTTATGGTTCCCGGTGCTCTACCATTCTCTCCGTCGGCCACTTCTTTGTTCACCTTCACTAGTGCCTCCTCGGCGGACCTCAGCCTTTTTCTTATAGCCCCCGTTTTTTCTTGCTCCGTCGCCAACACAGTGTCCAGCTCAGTGATTATCATTAGCAGTTCACTCTGGGCAACCATCATTTTCTCCCATTTTTCCTCGACCTCATATTGTCTACACTTGGCGTCAGCCTCCTCTTCATCTGCATCGGCACTTGCGTTCATTTTCAAACTTACCCTGCATCCTAAACATTTATAGCATTTTCAAGCATGTTTTTTACACAATTTTCCTTATGAATTGTCCCACTCGACAATTAGAAAACACGATGACGACGACTTCTGCCTACGAAAAAAAGGAAAGTCTAAGCTCTACTACACAAATTTGCGTGTTTGGTGTACGTCCACCTCCCCCACAGGGTGGCTAGAGAAAAACACAAAAAACAAAACATACACATAAACAAGTAAACACCTGGTGACTGAGCCACGAAACAGCCGTACAATGTAAGTATTGCTACAAAGGTTTAAACAGCTGCCTTAATAACTATAAAAGCAAGCTCGAAACATGCAAAGTCACTTATCTGCGAGGTCAATCGGGAGTGCCAGTCTGAACTCAACTCCGAACTGGGTACGTTGGTGGCGGTGCCGTCTGACGACTAAGAGCGAATTGCGCCCACGAGACCAGACATTGTCTGGCTGCTCAGGCACGCTCAGTGTCAACACCTAATAATTCTTACACCATGGTCATGATCAATCGATCAGTAGATAGATAGATAGATAGATAGATAGATAGATAGATAGATAGATAGATAGATAGATAGATAGATAGATAGATAGATAGATAGATAGATAGATAGATAGATAGATAGATAGATAGATAGATAGATAGATAGATAGATAGATAGATAGATAGATAGATGTTTAGGCACAGATGACAGACACACAAATATAGACAGATATGGAGGAAGTTCAGTACTTAACTGCCGGAGCAAAAGATACTTGAGACCCGAAATTATAGTTTTGTGTCGGTGGCTGATGCTAAGGCGTGGAAGCATAATGCCATTGTGACAACCTGTACCTAATGCAAGGGTCAGCTGTGCCTGGTTACACCTCGCCCACGGTTACAAAAACGGGCGGGTCGTTGCGTCAGCGGACAGGAAATGCAGCATACGCAGCAGTGTGTTTAACACAGCAGAAGTCACGAGAGGCGTCGCACAACAAAGCCTAATAAAAGACACCTCTGTAGCTAGTGCATACTTATTAGTGCATACGAATACATATCCTTAGTCCCTTCAAACAGTGCCGACGAATGTGCCTGCATAACCAATGCAAATTCAACTTTAATGTATTTTTCACAGTAGCTCAAGCTCCTGCTTTCTCCCTGCATGTATTGGGATTAGCTGTCAAGCAGATTTCTGGGTCAATACTGAAACACTTCCGCAGTTGAGAGATGACAATAGCATCAGTCCTCCGTCGACTGGCATCGTGATGCCCGTGACGAAGGAGGCGTCATCCGAGGCCAGGAAGGCGATGCAGCGGGCTACTTCTTCCGGGGTACCCGGTCTCCCCAAGGCGTGATCGACGCCGGTTAGCTCCAGCTTCTGCATAGATGCGAGCGACACAGGTTTACGCATGTGGTTTGCCGGGAAGTACCGAAATACTCAAGTCAAACGGGCTATGCCAGCGTCCGGTTCTGAGCTTCATTGAATATACGTAGGTGCAAATTGTAGGTATCTTGAAAACACTCAAAATAATCACACAAATCCTTACAGCTCACCTGTTACCGTGAAATATTGCGAATTACGTGCACGACCAAAAAAGCAATGTATCTGTAATAAGGGAAAGTACTTTGTGTTGTATCCAGGCACAACTGCAGTCATAAAAGAAAAGTTGTTCTAATGTTCAATGGCCTCCTCACTCAGCGAAATGGTAAAAAAAATTCTCATTGAAAAAAATAAGTGATTGCGATACTTCATGTGCATGACGGTGTTCTTAAGGCCATGCAAAAATGTCTCGAGGAGCTTAAGGGGCACCTAAACTACTGTAAGTCTAATGGTGCCACAGTGATTTCTTGTTACCCTCACTACCTCTCTTAGAGGTCCAGCGCTCCAACTTTTTTATACCCCCCAAACAAGCTCGCGCATCTGTCGTACGCCTGACCGACCTCCTTCCACACGCAGTGACGTCAACTCGGCGATCAGTGACATTGACTTCATTACTGTTTGTTGAAACATGGTTTAGACCAATCAACGTGCTGCATGCTGCGTCACATTGCCGATCACCGATTTGCCGTCATTGAGCGTGGAAGGAGGTTGGTCACGCGCAGAAAAAATGCGTGAGCTTTTTTTGCTCGTTTCGGAGCCTGTTGACTGGCCCATTAAAGGCGCTATCTCATCCACGCCACATATTTTTTTGGGAAACACGTGGACAATGTCAGCACTACTAGCGTTGCGGCTATCTTAATTTTCGCATTTTTGGCTGCACGCTGTTCTCTTTTTCTCCGCAGTTCAAAGCGAAAAAATAATGAATCTGAAATCAATTGATTCTGCACAATAGCAACGAGGTACATGGCACAATGGGCTTGCAAGTCGATAGATACGCAGTTTGGGACACAATCCACCATTGACATTTCTCGTATATGGATCAATCGAGAGATAATATAGTAATGACGTCTTATAAAAAGACTTGGCGTAACGAATTTCGCCGAAAAACGCTAAACGCAAAAGATAATAACACGTCCGTTCTTTGAGTTTTCAGAGTCGGTTTAGGGGCAGTTTAAGAACTCGTGGATAGTGTTCACAATATTTACTTGGACATAAATAAACTTGTGCTGTCACCAGCTATCCAAAACCACCTAATGGCATGGTTTGGTTTGGTTTGCTTTTATTCAAGGCAAAATTGAACAAGATTGCCTTGGGGGACACAACTAAAGGCTAAGCAAAACACTGACTAGGTCATGCCACCCTGGCAGCAAAGAAGAAACACACCGCAAGCAAAGCAGTCAGAAAATTATAACATCACGTGTTATCTAACACGGGCACCATAATCAAACACGAACCGCCAGAAGTGTGAACAAAAGAACAGAAATACAATCAGTCCTCATTCGAGTGGTGGCAAACACAAACAAATGCATGCCCTCTATCAAATAAATTAACAAGAGACATCTTGACTAGGAAATCGAGTTGCTCTACAAGACAAATTAGAGTATAATAAACAACAGGCAAGGAACAATAATGAACAAGGTGCAACGAATACAAAAACTTTATTAACTACAAATTTCAACAATCAAGAAATGCATCGCTTTCATCCACTAAGAACTCTTTCGTTATTTTTTTAAATGATGTAGCTGAAATTCCGTCTTCCAGTAAATGTAATATAGTTGGGTGTTTGTTTAAAATGTTTGGAATTTGTGACACTAATCGTTGGTCACCGTAGTTCATGGGTGATGTATATTTGTATATTAGGCTCTTTCTCAGCTCGTATGGTGTTTGTTTCACATAATATGTGCCCAAGAATAGTGATGTATTTATTTTATACTGGTATAATATCTTAGACATAGCTTATGTCTGTATAACAGTTTTATAGGCAATACTTTGTACATTTTAAAATATGGTCAAGCACTTTCGTAAAGGGGAGTGTTAGATATAGCATGTATAGCACGCTTTTGTAATATCAACAGAGAATTAATGTTTGTAGTGGTCGTTGTTAGCCACACCAAGGAGCAGTATGCTAGTCGTGAATGTACTAATGCGTAGTAAATTTGCAGCTTGACATTTGATGGGACGTAGTATCTCAGTCTATTTAAAATGCCGATTCTTCTGGAAAGATCTTTTTTTATCGCGTCAATGTGAGGAGACCAAGAAAGTTGTTCTTGGAATAGAACTCCTAGAAATTTTATTGTTGTTGTGCGCTGAATCTCTGTGCTCTGGAAGTAAATTGGAGTTCATGGTATGTGAGCTACTCCTTTAGGCTTGAAAAACATGTACTTTGTTTTAGCGATATTCAATTGAGGTTTATTTGCATTTAACCATGAATTTAGTTTCTCCATCCAAACGTTAGCTTCTTTTATATAGTTCACATACGTTTGAACCTGCCAAAAAAACGTTTGTGTCATCAGCATACAATATTATTTTCTTGTGTCAATCGATATTTACGATATCATTAATGAACAGCAGGAATAGGATTGGTCCAAGAATCGATCCTTGGGGGACACCATACTTAATGTGTTCAACTTGAGAGTGTGTATTATTTACAACGGTATATTGTTTTGTAGACGAGAGATAACTTTGTATTATATGGGCTGTGGTACCCCGAATGTCATAATACGGTAGCTTTCGTAAAAGTAGATCGTGTTGTATACTGTCGAATGACTTTTTAAAATCCAGAAATATTCCTAGTGTAAAGAGTTTGTTTTCAATGTTGTCTAGAATGTATTCTTTGATGCTGAGTAGAGCCGACTCAGCAGACTTGTTTTTGCAAAATCCACACTGGTCTTTTGCTATTATATTATTTGCGTTTACATAGCCCGTAATCCTCTTATATATAACTCATTCAGCTATTTTCGCGAACACAGAGAGCACAGATATAGGTCTGTAATTGTTAAGCTCATCAAATGACCCACCTTTTTATGGATGGCAGTTACTTTTGCTAGTTTCATTTGATCGGGAAAAACACCTGAAGATGACATCAAGTTATAAATGTGCGTTAGTGGTGTAGCGATAATGTGACTTATAGCCTTTAAAGGCTTCAGCCTAATGTCATCTGGGCCGCAAGCACAGTTATCCTTTAATGACGTGATTAGCTTTACCACTTCTTGTTGACCAGTAGGAAACAGGAATACACTAGACGGGTAATTTGATGCTGTATAGTTCTCACAACACGTTTCCGTGCTGTGTCTGGTAGACTCACCAACTGTTAAAAAGTATTTGTTAAAGGTGTCAGCGATTTCTAATTTACTCATGCCTAGTTTTTCAAATTTTATTCATCTGGATATCTCCTTTTTCTTAATGAGCTAGTTTATTGTGTCCCAAAGCAGGCGGGCGTCTCCTAAATTAGTGGTAAATTTACTAATGTAGTGTTCCGTCTTTGCTTTCTTCAAATCTTTGTTCAGTGTATTACGAAATTTTTTGAAATTACGTAAATCGTTTTCACCTCTGAAAGATAGGAAAACTTGAAAAAGGTTGTTTTTGACTTTAATTGTGTTGTATAGTTCCACTGTCACCCATGGTTTTCTGCATTTTCTGTGTTTTTTGTAGGGCTTAAGAGGGAAGCACGCGTCATATAAAGATGTCAAGTGTTTTAAAAATATGTTGTATGATTTATTAGAACCTCTTTCTTCTGTAACCATGCTCCAGTCAATTCCAGAGATAAGGTTCTCACAAAGTTTAATATTGCGGCTAGAATAACTCCTAAAGAGCATTTCATCCTTACTTTTGATTACACGATTGCCTGGTAGGAAGCAGTATGTTGGAAAATGGTCGCTAATGTCGGTAGTGATTGCGCCTGCTTTGACATCAGTAGTGTCGAAACTTGTAATACATAGGTCTAACGTTGTTAATCTTTGAAATATGCGGAGCACGGCGACGTACTCATGAAAACTCAGGCGTCGTAACTCATTATACATACAGGATAAAATCACACGTATCTCCCCTTAAAGAGAACCCTGAGTAGCATGCGAAGATGCCTGGGGTCTAGTTAACGTTGTGTCAACTGATGCTCTTTTTAGGTCATCGCAGAAGTTCATAGTTGCGTACACAGCTGTTTTACGAGCCCTTGTCTCCACCGCACGCATGCTCGTTTCCATTCATGCTACTACGTTGTGTGTGTGAGAGAGCGAGGACTAAGCGTTTGTACTATATAGAGCAGCGAACTGCCACGAGTGGTCTCCACACTTCCAGTGCACACGCCAAGGAAGAGCGAGTGCTCTACCACACAGCACCGTGGGAGGTGTAACTGTTTCATTTTGCACAGCAGCAGAGTGCCACTCGTGGTCTCCACTCATACCAGAGCACGTTCGTTTTGCAGGAGAGCCAGTGCTCTATCACAGGACGGCGCCATCAGGGGGCCACACTGAACGAAGACGAGTATTTTTTTCTCCGATAGTCACTGCCTTCCTCGTTTGACTCTCAGCCTTCGGGCACTCAAAATGGTTCCATCCAGTGTTCCATTGCTCAAAAAAATGCACCTACAAGATTCTGGGGATCTCGGGACATCACCAGATGCATTAACCCTAACGAACACTGCAGTCGATGCCACGGCGGCTAGTGTCACCCTGAAGACAGCACCACTGCGTCCCGAAGTGAAATTATTCGACGTCCTGGCTGATCTTTAGACGCCGAACGATGGGAACGGCAAGTGGAGTGATTTAACTGTTTCTAACGTACACAATCTGCCAAGTCCAAGCGTTGACAGAAACGTGCTTGGGGATCGTGGTCCGCGTCGGCTTACAACCACCACGCGTTACAACCACCCTGCCTCTTCTTCACATCACGCAGTCTTTCTTTTCTTTTATGGTTTTCAGACCACCATTGTGCGCATATAATTTTGATTTGCTGTATTTCCTGATTTTCTGTACGATGTATACCCGCTCCTCTCTGTAATG